ATTTCCGCCACCCTGATAAAAAAATAAAACTTGTATCTCATAATTATGACTTAGCTATCTCATTATTATGAGATAGTATCTCATAATAATGACTTAGCTATCTCATAATTATGAGATACTATCTCATTATTATGAGATAGTATCTCATAATAATGACTTAGCTATCTCATAATAATGAGATAACTATCTCATAATTGTGAGATACTATCTCATAATTATGGCTTAGCTATCTCACAATTATGAGATAACTATCTCATAATTATGAGATACTATCTCATAATTATGACTTAGCTATCTCACAATTATGAGATAACTATCTCATAATTATGACTTCATAATTATGAAGTCATAATCATGAGATACAAGTTTTATTTATTTTTTTGTCAGGGTGGCGGAAATGGGCTTCCATAATTTACTGTTGTTGAAAAAGAAAACAATTGCTCTTTTAAAGAGACTAATATTCTACATTTATTATCCTTTAAGCATTATGTTGATTTATTCACTTACAAATAACCTTTAAACTAAACCTAAATGTGAATGCTGCTTCTTGGAAACAATGTAGGCGCAAGATTCTTGTGAGTTAAATGTTTGGCCTTTGGCTTTGTTAGGTTTCTGACAGATCTAGTTTTGTGACCCCACTGTGGGTCAGGACCCCTACTTTGGGAAGAAATAGACAACAGCAGAGGTCTTCAATCCTATTCCATTTAACTGGCTCTCCTCCATGTTTTAGCTGTTTCCCCGCTTCAGCACTCCTGACTGAAATGAATGAGTGATTGACAGGTTTCTGCTAAACTTGATAACATTCAAAGTAGGTAATTTAGTTATTTGATTCAAGTGTTCCGAAGCAGGTAAACAGCTAAAACATGCAGGACAGTGGTTCACGGGGAACAGGGTTTAAGACCTTTGACCTGGAAGTCCCAGAGTCAAAATGGTAGACTCCACCCAGAGTGGTAGAGAATGACTGGGCTAACATACTGGCTGTGTCTCAATTCAGGGGTTGCAGCTGATTCAACCYCATTCATTGGCCACTGATGTCACTCTCGCAGGCCGTAGGCTGTCCCAATTTGTCGGTGCCTACAAATGCGGTTGACAAATGCAGCCTACGTTTTCGAGTTTTTGTTGGCTGCATCAAAGCACACTATGCTGCCCACAGTATCCCAGAATGCATTACGCCGTTATCGGCGGAAGAATTNACAGAGTGTAACACAGAGTGTAACTCTGTGTTACACTCTGTGTTACAGTCTGTGTTAAAGTTTAAGTGCACACGTTTAGCATTAGCTTGTCTTTGCTGCACGATTTTTGTCCAACATGTTTACAGATGCATGAAAATGTTGCTGACAGTCATTCCTTACATCATTCTCTGGCTCCGGCTGGTTGATCTGACTCTGGTAGATTTTACCCATTGCAAACAAGACCTGCAGAAACACACCGGTTACATCAACAAACACATGCCTACATAAAAAGCATTTATTCTAACAATAATGGGACAGATGACAAACATGCATGTTAGGGTAACTAAAAAAGATGTCACTTGTCATTAGATGTGAGTGTGAGCATCTTCAGATGGACTGGTAACTTGCTTAGGGTGTCCCCCACCTCAAATCCAATGACTGCACAATAGTACCTTGTGTATTAACCTGTTTTATTTTATTACATATTTTATGACAAAATCATATATGCTAAAAAAAATACAGTGTTTAAGCTTGACAGACTAGCCTGGCCCTTGACTTTCCTGCACAGTTCCACTCAATTCTAGTTTCCTTTCACTGCTCCGTCTGGGTTTTCTCCCATGGACAAGGATTTCTTTTTTAGAATTTTACCTGGGCCAATCAGCAAACAGAAGGAGGAGTCTTCAAGATTCAAGCCTTTTATTGTCATATGTCCAACACACAAGCAGTTACACTGTGCAATGAAATTCTTACTTTGCGGTTCCTCTATTTACCGATATTATAAATAAAGTACAATAGTGGACAGAATAATAGATATTTATTGTTTTTGCAGTATTTTTGGACAGTAGCAGCTGAATTTTTTGTGCAAAGACAATGTATACAGAATTATAGACCAGTATTTACAGTTTTTGCAGTATTAATGGACAGTAGCAGCAGGATTTGTAGTGCAAAACAGACATTGTATATGGGTAAGCATCAAACGTGATATAGACCAGACAAAATAGACACTAGTGTTGTACAGTTATTATAAAAACCAGTTTCATACTGTAATTAACAATATTGTATTGTAGACCAGTAGCCTCAGAATGTGTGGTGGGCTCATCTTACAGGTACATGTTAGGGTTCAGACAGTTCAGAGTGAAGGGGGGAGGAGGTGTTTATAAACCTGATGGTTTGTGAATAAAAACTGTCTGTCAGCCTGGTTGTCCTGGACTTCGCACTCCTATAGCGTCGGCCCGACTGCAGGGGCGTGAAGATGTTGTGTTGGGGGTGAGTACTGTCCTTGATGATGCTGTGTGCCTTTCTGATGACCCTGATCCTGTAGATGTCCTGCAGTGAGAAGAAGGTTGCTCCAGAGATGGACTGAGCAGTCTTTATCACACACTGAAGAGCCTTCCTGTCCTGAGTGGTGCAGATTCCATTCCACATCGTAACGGAACTGGTGAGGATGCTCTCAGTCGTACTCCTGTAGAAGTTGCTGAGAACTTTGTGTTATGATCCTGCTCCTGTCTGCCTTTATCTTATCTCAGTCCTAGTCTATCTTGATCCTGTTCCAGTCTGCCTTTATCTTATCTCAGTCCTAGTCTATCTTGATCCTGTTCCAGTCTGTCCCAGTCTTGTTTATTTTGTCCTGTTCCTGCTCATTGCCTCTGCCCCTCCCATCCTGTTCCTCAGTCTGCTCATTGCCTCTGCCCCTCCCGTCTCTGTTTCATCTAATCAAGTTCATCACTTCCACCTGTTTTCCCCAGTATATATCTCAGCTCCAGCCTCTTGCCAGATTTTCATCAGCCTTGTCTATGATCTTCCAGCAATCTTGTTCCTTGTTCCTCTCTTGCCTTGTGTCCC